AGATCTGATATATGTATATATATAATTTATCACGGATCTTTTATTTTATAATTAGGGCAGTTGTAATTGTTTAGAATTTTCGTTAATGAGATAAAATAAAATACATAATGATTTTGATTAGATTTCTTAGAATTCGAACGAGAATATTAAATATTTTATATATATACATTATTAGAGATTAATAAAATAAACTTCGATATTATTTTCATTTACCTGTTTCTCTAATTTAGATAGGTGTAAAGGCATAGGAGTCGAATCTCCGATTTGCAGATTGTGTAAACCGCATACCATCTTCTCTATTATCTCCGCATTTTCCGTCTCGTTTCGATCTGTACACAAAAGATCCTGCATTTGTTGCGCAGCCTGCGATTGGGTATCGGTCGTTTCTTGTCGATTATCCGGCATTTGTAATTTTTCTGGCAACGTTATTTTTTTTCGTTGATTGCAATTTGTCAAAATTAATGCGAATTCCTGTCTACGCGAATAACATACTTATATTTTCTTTAAATAAGCTTAAAAATAAATATGAAATCGTTTTACACACACACACACGCACACACACACACACACACACACACGTTTTGTTAACAACGATATAAAAGAAAAATTATTTTCAAATCGAAAGCTCGCTTATTAAAACTTTTAAAAGAAAAAAGTATAGTTATTTTTATATTAACAATTAAAAGATTGGAATTTTTGAATCGTGTCATTTATTGCAATAAATGGGATATATCTAATAATAACTAGATTGCGGATTTTTATGTAAATAATATTTCTAACATGTTATCGTATTAATTGATATTCGATGTTATATATATATGTTACATATCGATTTAAAAATATAACTTAAAAAAATATACTTTTTTCATCTGGGAAAAAAATTTTTTGTATATATAAGAAGCTCACAGGAATATTTTTAATATTTTAAATACTGAAGATAAGAGAAATCTGCAGTGATAATACAGAAAGTAATAATATGTAATTAGATCAAATTTAAAATTTAAATATTAGATATACATACATACATACAGATGTGAAAATGTTATTTTTCAATCTACAAGTTAATTTTTTCAAACATAGATATCGATTTACCAAGCAGGAAACCTTGAAAAAATTATTATCATATATCATTATAATATAAATTATGAGAGATGTACACAATAAAATTATTAATATTTCACAAACGTATAAATAATATATATATGTATATACACACGTATATATACCATTCGCATATATCCTACATAATGTCACATATTAGTTGAACGTTTGAACACATTTCAGTTGTGTAAAAAAATTCACAATCTAGCATTGTATAAATTGACAGAACCTAAATAAAACAAAATTCAACGAAATGTCCTATTTACGTTGGACAATAACAACTGCTCACCTTCATTCGTATCAACCACATCGAAAGCTTCTAACATTATCTTGTCAATTAAACTTTTTGCGAAAGCTTCGACCATAATTTGAGGCATTATCAAATCGACAAAGAACTGAAATCGGTAGCTGTTAACGGTTGCGATCGTCACGTTTTACACGAGCATGGCAAATACGCATGCACTTGAATTTTGCCAATTGTGCGTTCGTACTGTTTTTGAATTTCACACTTTATTCGATCAACGTATCTATTAAATTGATCAACAAATAAGTTTAAATATGAACTGAGAATACGAAATTTACGTAGGGTTATCGATACCCTAAAGTGAACTCGTAAGATGTCTGCTCGTGTCCAGGAAAATGTCAGAAGATGGTGAACAAATTATATTTTCAAGGTGTCGCCCATTCACTTCATGGAAACTGATTATACGCAACGTATTGTACAACTTTGAATATAATAATTTTATTAATTAAAAATTTTTAAAATCGTATCAATCAATATCTTGTTAATAGACCTAACCTATACAATATTAATGTTAATATTTTTATTATACGATAGAATTGTTATTGCAACTCCTCGTTGATTTTTAAATTAAATTCAATTCGAAGCCAGAATATTGCTGAATAAATAAAATTATACGGAATTAGAAAAGGAAATCGGATAAATATTAATGATTATTATTATTAGTAGATTTAACCTAAAAGAAAGCGTTGAAATAAAAATTTTATTACAACAGAATCGTCGACTGAACGTTCAACGTTGAATCAAGGATAGAATATTAAATAAATAAATGAAGGTTATGAAAAGAGGATTAGAGAAGTTTGTGCAAAATTATAAAAGAAAATTCATAGATATTAATTAGAGTTAATCTATAAAATAATAAAATAAAATTTTTATCATAAGACAAGTGTTGACAGTCTCTCAATGTTAAATAAATTAAAAATCAGATATTAACGAACAAGCAAATATTTATAGACATTAATGATCAATGATCAATTATTGATCAATTATTAACAGATTATTAATCTGTATATATTAAACGAAATATTAAAATATAAAAAAACTTTTATTATAACAGGATTGTGGATAATCGTGAAAATCGAATCGAATATCGAATATTAACGAATAATATTAATAATATTGACATAATAATTGATCAACAGATATTTAATCTACTAAAATAAAATTTTTATATCGAAATAAAATTGCCTAAACTTAATTTCGTATCGAATTCAAAAACTGTAAAGAATACCGACATATAAATAAACAAAAATTCATTTATTTTAACGAGAATTGTAATAATAATAATAATAATCGATCGAATAGAACGCTGCAAAATTACTAAAATAAAATTTTTATTTGCAACAGAATTACCGATATAACCTCAAATTGTGTCAAACCCCGTCAAAGGTAAAATAATCGACATATAATAAACGATCGAAGATTTGCTTAACGCGATAAATTTGCAAAACGCGAAATTTCCAATAAGCGATAAAAATGGAATCAATATTAATATTAACAATCTACAAACTAGATAAAAAAATGTCAGTCTATTCCAGGTTGAAGTACCTTCAATATCATCGTACCGTACAAGTATCGAGAAACTGAAGAAGCTATCGTATCCATTAGATATGGATCAAAATAAGTACATAGAAGTAAGAATCTTCGAACCTGTTGCAGAAATTCCTACTTCCGACACCGCCCACGAATATTCCATAAAAACGTTGAGCACGATTCACGAGTGCGATAGCGCGAAGGTTGCACACGTGCAAAGAAATTTGAAATCTAACGTCAGAAATTCCCCGTTCTCTAAACAGAGGGCGGACTCGATCCGCGCCGACGGCCCCCTCGACATCGATCTTCTATTGCGTTATTACGCGTGCAACTCGGACATGGAGAAGTCGATAAACAAAGTTTTCGGGGAGATAGACCAGCACGTGAGCAAGGACGTCGATCAGGGCGGGCCTCTGGTCGAGTTGGCCGCCGTTTACAAAATTTGCGACTCGTTGAAAAACTCGTCCAAAAGTTCCTTGGTGTCCACGTTTAGATACCTCGATGTTCTGGCCAAGTTGCAGTCTTTGGTACGTGAACGTACGCCTGCGTGTGCGTGTATGCGTGCGTGTGTGCGTGAAGCGAGGATAAATTTAATCGTATTTCAAATAATATATATATATATATACATATATTTTTAGAAAATTCCTTTCCTAATTCCTTCGCAATTTTTCGAAATATAAATATAAATAAAAATTCTTTCTGAAGAAAAGAAATAAAATATTCTCAATTCTCCGCAGGTGCGTCGATGCAGCAACGAGAGATTGGACCATCTTCTATCGACGGATCCAACGTTGAAAATGTGCAGGCATTGCGGCGTTGTCAGTTGCACGAATCCTAAGAACACGTTCATCGAGCAACGGATATCCCCCCTTCCCACCTCCTACTTCTTGAGCACGCAAATGTTCTCCGACATACCGAGCAGCGGGGACGACGACTTCAGGAAACATCATCAAATGGGCAGAGGTCCGAACAAGGAGCAAGCTCGGTTCGGGAAATATTATAACGTGCAGAGGAAGGATAACCGTTTCTCGCGAAAGGAGAGGATGATCGAGAACGGCGGCGGGAAGGCTTACGGCTCGAGGGAGGTGAGTTTGAGGGTTAAACGGGAGAACAATTACCATTTGGCCGCGCCTCAACGCGTCGAGACCATGGTGGCCGAGCGGGAGAACGAGGACACGACGCAGGAGGGGAGCAACGACGGGGAGGGTCCTCCGTCGCAGAGCG